ACATGCGGCCGTTTCGATGGCGGAGAGGAATGTAGCCTCCAGTGCATTAGCAGTCTTTTTTTCTTTTATTAGGGCCTGGATTGAGGAGGATCTGGATTTAAACACGTACTTAAATTTCAGCATGTGCCTAAGTGTTGTCCTGAATGGAGACCATCTCAAGCTTTTGCTGAAGTGCTTTTCTGTACCAGGGCCAACAGACTGTGAAAGTTGTCTCTTGTCTTTTCTACTCCACTGTGTATATACTCATTGTGGCTTGCTGGCTATTTACTGCAAGAGGAAAATTGCTTTATTTAGTCACAGCTAGCTGAGTGAGAGTAGGCAGGTTAGGAGAGTCATGCATGAACTGGGAGCAGGACATCTGACCTTGTCTTTAGCCTGTCTTATTTCTACAATCCTAATGCTGCTCTAAATTAATTCTTTTGTTTAGTTGCTGGGGTTTTTTCCTCCTTTTTGTTTTCACATGAATGCTTGCCTCTGTATTTAGGTCTACCAGAACGGGATGTTAACGGATAATTGTTGACTGATATTATTAAACACTAACACACTTGGCTGTGTTGCACTAATGATGGGGCATTGGGGATATGCAAATCAGTTAATTGAGTATAATTGCTATAGTAGCTGTTTTGGAAGATGATGTTGAAGAGCCCTTGGGAGGGCAGACAGAGAGGGAGACATTTGGAAGCGTGAAGGAAAAGGGGTGCTTGAACGTTGATGGAGATCACTGCTTTGAGTTGCTGATTTGTAGAGTTGTGCTTATTTTGCTCTCTAAAACCCACTCAAACCCAAGTCTCTCTTGCTTCATTCCAGAATTAGCTATGTGTGGCTCCTCTCAGGCTTTCTGCAGGGCCCTTTCTGCTGAAACAGAGCTGAAGAAGTTCAGGGATGAGGCAGAGTCTTTTTCAGGTAACCTGTTGACTTAAAGATAAGAGAGACAACGCTTGAAAAACACCTGAGGAAAAGAGATGTTTTCCAGCTAGCTTTAATATTAGACCTCTGCATCACCTTGCGCTGGAGGGTTTTGGTTTACCAGCTGTTTCTCATTCATGACAAGACTTTTCCTCCTCTCTGGCAACATAACGGGGCCTTACAGTGGGCAGAGAAGGGATTTAAGATGCCTCAGGAATCATTGTGGGAAGTCTGTGAAGGGAATGAGATTTGGGCATTGTGAGGATGGCGAGGAAAATGTCTCTTCTGGCCTCCTTCCCATCTTATATGTGCTCTCCCTGCCTTTGTGTCTGTAGTATTATTGTATATTCTTTTGTCTGGGTTTCCACATGTGATGTGCTTTAGTTTCTGCTCTCTGGGGCGAATGTTCAATGTGGTGCACAGATGGTGCTCCCAGAAATCCTGTTATTTGCTAATGGGATTTTGTTGAAAGCGTTTCCACTCTTCTTTTAAGAAGCGTGTGTGCTGCTGTAAATGTGTCTGGACCATTCAGTCATCACCCTCATCTCGCTGAAACGTCCTCTCCCGTGCAGCTGAGAACACAGCTTCGTTATTTATTTAATTATTATCCCCGAGAACCACTCTGGACCGGCTCCTGTGGGAGGCAACAGTTGCAGGAGCTAGCAGGTGTAGAGATCTGTGCCTGTGCATTGCGTAGTAAAGAAGGGTTGGTCCCTGCTAGCTCTGCCAAATGTCAGGACCCTGCCAGGTGTCCTGGCCAGAGAGGTTGGGGCACTCCACTTTCATGCCTTCCTTACATTGCTGGTGGTCCTGCCCTTATGTTTTGTGCTGATATATGGCACAGAGATGCTCCTCTGTTTAGCAGCTTCCCTCAGATCCAGCAGCATTTCTCTAATGCAAAAGTTTGGCTATTATGCAGCTGTCCCCCTCTGTGCCCTCCGTTCTTCAAGTAGTCTCAAAATTTTGGTATAAATAGCAAAGGCCTAGAATATGTTGCTTTTATCACCAGAGGCCTTTCAGAATAGGTTAGACATGTGTTTTACAGGCATAATATAGAATCGATTCTTCCATGAGGCACAGAGATGAACTAGATGACCTCCTGAGGTCTTTTTCAACCCTTCAACTGCTGTATGACATTCACTGCTAGTGTCAAAGTAAGTAAGTGAGCTTTGTTTTGCGTCATGCTCGCTGGAGAAGAGGTCAGGACTCAGCAGCCATCATGACTAACACAGTTATCGGATATGTTTCAGGAAGTTCACTGTCTGTCTGTGTACTAACATGCTACTCATCCTTCAAATCCTGTTCCCCTAAATGTTTCCCAGGCTTCTTGGCAATGGGAAGGTGAGTCATACAAGGGCAGTAATTCTCCTTCTACTGGCCAGAGATTCCAGGTGGCCTCCTTTGAGGCTGACTGAAGCCAGAGAAATCACAGGCTTATCACAACCCTGGTTCAGAAAGTTCGGGCAGCTCGAGGTAGAAAACATGCCTCACAGTGTTCCTGTTTGGGCACTCTGACCTTCAGCTGGCTAATCCAGGATCCAAGGCTTGGTGATAGCTTGCTGAACAGGCAGAGGAGGGCCAGCCTTGGGATGTGCCTGTCTGCGCCCATGCAGCCCTGCAGGATGGAAAATTAGAGCACAGCTCTGTATAGCACGTGTCTGTGTCAGCCCTCCCTGTAACTGCTGATGTTCATACATAGGATTGACATCTACTGCGTCCCTGTGCTTCTCTGAACAACCAGCGCTGTGTTCCGCTGTGAAGCGGGGTGCGGGGCTCAGAAAAACCTCATCTCCAGCCTCATACCTATGCAAGGGTTCTGCTATGGGCTGGGGAGATGTGCTGCTGCTGCTAGGGCCTCCACAGCACACAGGTCTGTCTCCCTGTGTTTTGTTTGGACATCATTGCACCCAATAAGAATCTGATCGGTGTGGTGTTAGGCCAGCCATTACTGGCAGGTTAGAGTGGTTTTGTGACCACTTTGTCCAAAATTTAGGAGCCATAGGGGATTCTGGAATACAGCCCTCTTTGTGTCTTACCTGACTCTCTTCCAGAGGCAGTTTGGGAAATAACATATCTTTAGCTTAGTGTTTTAAAAAAAAAAAAAAAAGCAGAGAACCTGCACAAACCCTGATCTTCAGTAATAGCCTGATGTCCCCTACAGGATGGAATCTGTATAGGAAAGCAACTCATCTGAAGTGTCAGCTTTCTGTGCCCATCGCCAAAGACTACCCCTGCCTATGTTTTCATAGCCTCTCAGTTTTGCTGATTTTATCACCCTTCTGATAAGGGTGATTAGATCTGATTTGTTTGAGTTGTAGCCTGATGGCTTTCAGCTCTCACAGACACAACACCATGTTGCTCTGCATGAGAGAATGTGCTGGGTTCACACCAGCTTGGGTATGGGGGGGAAAGCAAGGAGGGGAGCCTTTCTCATTCTCTGATATGTAGCAGATGTGATATCTTTACCAGGTCAAGGACCTGAAAACGTCAGGCAGCACAAAAAGGCTGTGCTCAGATGATGCTTTAAAGCTATAAAGAGGAGGATGTGGCAGAGTCTGAATCGTTCTGTGCCCAGCAGCAGGTCTGAGTACTTACTGCTCTGCAAGGTTTCACAAACTGCTGTATGCTTGAGTAGTCCTGATTTGGTCCCAGAAGCTATTTCTTTAGGTCTATACTAAGCTATGACCAGTTTCTTCATAAAAATTAGTTTGCCCATGGCTCAGTTATTTCTTGGGAGCTGTGTGAAGTTGGTTTGTTAGTGTTTCTTTGGATTTGTAATGCCCTTTTGTGTAGGCTTCTGTGCCACTATTAATATTTTTTCCCTCTAACTAAGTTTTGCCCAAGGTTGGTGATCTACTATTAGCCTGACCGTGATGTACACAATATTAAAATTTGGCCATTCTGCATTATTGGGGTGGCTTTTTTTTCCCTTTTCCTAAAGCACTTGCAGTAGCTTTCACAGGGAAGTTCAAAAAATGTGGAGCAGGACAGAATGAAAGTTATTACTATACCCTTTACCCCTGTGCTGTGATTTAGTGATTGAAAATCTGAGATAAGAAAGGATTCAGCTCTGATACTGATGCTATTTTGAACTGGGGGGAGTGAGTGCTGTCTGTAGATACATCATCTCTGCAGAGCTCAGCTGGGTGCTTCCCTGGGTCTTGTCCTCCTCACCACCACCCTCCATCACCTATCACAGGTGATTTAAACCATAGTAGCAGATGCTGGTAGAAGTGATAGAGACCAGGCTTTGCTTTAACTTTGGCTAGTGATCAGTCCATCTCAGTGAAAGCTGTTTGCTTGAAAACCCATGCTGCAGTCCTGTGCTCTGTACAGCCCACAGAAAGAGTGCTTTCCAGGTCTGGCCTAATATTTTCATCAGAGCATAAGCAGTGGCTCCTGGTATGAGGCCAGAAAGGGGTAGGATTTTTAAGGAGAGAACTAAGCATGCCTACAGCATGCCAGTAAGGACTAAAATACCTAAACGTACAGGAAGAAGTCTTGAGGAGCCATTCTGGGCAAGAGGCTCTGAAAGGACCAAGACACTGAGCTGTGCCCCTAAGTGGGTGAATTACGTTGTTGAGGGCTTCTGTGGGAAAAGGTATGGGAGTGGGCTGGAAGGGAGGACTCAGTCGCAAATCCACTGTGGCAGCTTCGTCTTCACACAGAGGGGTGTGTTCAGGGAGGAAAAGCTGCCTGCTTGCAGCTTGGAGGAAAAGCTGCATCTTGGCCTTCTTTTTATTATTGTTATGGGTAACTGGTATGTGCAGGAGTCGTGGAGTCCATGGCAAAGAATTTGTCCCTTCCCCGTTTTCTCCTCCATTCCTCTTGCCTCTGGCAAGGTGCTCTCTGTGTTAGCTTTAGGCTAAAAGAAGGAAAGCCTACCTACGCATACAACTTAATGACTGATTCCAGTGAATGCAAAGCAGGGTTGTAAGTGCAGCCAAAAAAATGCCACAGGGACACAAGTGTGTGTACTTTGTGTGTTGGGAGTGGCTGTATGTAGAATATAGATATGCATTATGTTAGATTGAAGCTTGCTTTTCCCTTATGCTGGTGGCATATTTTCTGACAATGTAGATGTCAAGTCCTACTATGTGATCTTTGGCGATACTGAGAGCACTTGTGAACTCTTCCGCCACTGCTAGTTTGCTGCCCGATGGACATGGGAAGAAAACTGAAACGCTTGCAGAGCGCTTGCTCTTTTCCACCTCCCCCCATGTCGTCTTCCCCGGCTGATTTGACCAGGTCACTCCCCATCTTTGATTTTTTTCCTCTTATTTAAAGACCACCCGTGGCTGCATTGTCTGGAACAACTCTGGTAGAAGCTTTAGAGCTAGCTGTACTTCCACCTGGGTAACTAAAGAGTGCGTTCTCATTAACGGCCCTCGAGGAGGGTGAATATCGCTGCTTGCCTTCAAAGGAGAGTCTGAGATGCAGAACAAAATCCTGTCCCTCAGTCAGATGGATTTCTGCTGAAGACATCAACAAGATCAAAACGTCAGCTGGTGAGAACAGAAGTGATGCGGGATTCCTCTGTGATGCAGGAATTACGGTGGCTTTGTGGTTCATGGAGACATGAGATGAACTGGCTTTAACTAGCTTTGGTATTGATAAAAGTGAGGCTGCTTGGGCTCACGGCCCGTCTACCTGCTTAGCCTCTTGGGAGGGTTTCAGCACACATGCTGTACTCTGCTACCACTGTCAGTGGCAACTGAGCTAGTTAGCTTGGGATTGCCTGCACCACTTGCAGTTGCTGTAGAAGGGATGAACCCTCAGCTGCTGTCAAGTGAAACTGTGCTGGAGCTTGGGAGCCGAGGCTCTGTCTTCCCAGCTGTTATTTGAACACCTTTGCCAGGCTCTCAGCCTTCCTCCTCAAAGTTGTACCTCGATGGATGAGCTCCAGATGGTTGAATGGGAACCTTGCCAAGCATGCAGAGCTATCAGCAGTGTTATATGGATGACTGTAGACTCGCTGCTGGGAAGCACGTTGTTGGCCTCTCTTATTTTAGTTACCGAAAAGAGTGCTTTTATAACTACTTTTGGCTCTTCTTTTAGTCTAATGAGTTGTTTTCCCTTTTCTAAAAAGTCTGAGACAGGTCAGCCCTAAACTATCCACAGCCTCTGTTTGATTTTCCCCTTTCTCTGGAACTGTCAGGTAAGTGTGATAAGCTGGAGGTAGGTTGGACTTTGGCCTTCCTTTGGCTCCTGCCACCAGTGCATAGACTTCTCTTTTCAATGTGAGCATTTGAAGAAGAAAAAAAAAGGGAAATTAAACCACAAACAACTGCATTAAAATAATAGTCAAAGTCTCATGAAAGCACACAAAATCCAGGAAACTGAGTGTTCTTTGAAACCTGAATCTTATCTACCCTGTCAAGGTTAATTGTTCCTGGGTTCACACCATGGGCAAGCTTTCGTTATAATACTGACTGGAATTCTTAGCCATTGCTGGACCACGTTCCTCTGCCTCTTGGCTTATAGCAGGGTTGAATTTGGTCCACTGTATTAAGGAGGCGGTTTCATTTGTAACTATGCGTTCCATGATTCTTGTGGATTTAAACCTGACCTTTAATGTTTCTTGAATGTCTTCTCCCAAGGTCATAATCTGTGGGACTATTTTGGAGATGGTTACTTTAGTTTGTTTCTTTCCATATTGTGTTAAAGACTACAGTACAGCAACATGATTAGGTATGAAAAACTTAGGACCAGCTGATAGAAGGTCTCTAACTTAATAGACCCTTCTAGCTGATGTAGGGGAGAGCAAATTCTCTGTCCTGGAAAGCAAATCTTCCTCATTTAACTAAGTTACCGAGAGCAAAGACTGATTCCAAGCCCCTGCTGAGTCCCTGCAATAGCCCAGACCTCCGTGTTCACGATCCTCATTCCATCAGTCGTGGTTTTCACTCCTGCAGCTCCTGTTCTGCTGAAGGAGCACGTCCTCACTGTACGGAGGAGATGGGCTATTAGGAACATTAACAACGGAGAAATACATCACAATATTAAAAATACATTAATGAAATGGGCATAATGAGTATTAGAACTAGTTTTATACCCCCTTGAGTTAGGAAATATAAATACATATATACTAAATGACAGTTAGACCCCCCACAGAGCTTCCATTTTAATGAGTCATATTTTCAACTGGCTAGGTTAATTTAGGACACAGTATTTCACATGCAAATGAATTAAGATTATGGTTCTGCTTGGGTAAATCACAGAAACTGCTCAATGCCTCAATTTACTCAACCTTACAGTGGGGTTATCAGTGCTGTCTTCACCTCTGCATGGTCTCCTGAGATCCTCGAGCACAAAAAGGGGCTGAGGCGATCTTTGAAGAGGAATAAACTGGTCTGAATTTCTGACTTTCAGCCATTTTAATGAGGTACGTAAGAGAGTAACAGGTTTTTTGCGGCAATCTTCATGATTTTACAAAGAAACTGGCAACTTTTGATACAGAGCAAAACTCATGAATTCCTATCCAAACTCCTTTCCCAGAACTGCATGATAACTCCGTAAAGCATTCCCCTGACAATACCAATCACTTTCTGACCGGCTGTTATTCAAACCACAAGTGGGAAATCCAAATATCGCACCCTTTTTGTGGGGCACGATAAAGATGTTGAACCAAGTTCAACCTTGGTGTAAATCAAAGTGACCTGCTTGTAGTTTGTGACTGGCTGATGTGAATTTTGGCTAGATTCTAGCTTCAGTCTTTCAGTGAAGACTTCAATAATCCACTATCCCTCGAATAATCCACTGAATAAAAAAATATGTGCTGGGCATCAGAATTTGGTTGCACATAATTGCTATGTTGTTACTGTCCTTGGAAATCTGTTAGAAAAAGCGATGCGAGGCTAAGTCTGAGCATTGATTTAACAGGATTGAGCCTTCAGTGGTCAACAGGAGTTGGATGTGTTTTTCAGAGCGGCCCTTGATCTTCTCGGGATGTGTCGGCTGAATGGATGGCTACAGCCCTAATTCTACAGAGGTTTACATTTGCAGGTTTCTTATGTGGGTAGAGGCGCCTCCCCAGAGTCAACAGGTGTGACACAAAGTTAGCTTCATGGTTCAGTGCAGGAATTTTTCCAGGCCAAGGATAGGGTCTTGGAATGGGGCCAAGCTGCTCCGTTCAGGGGATGAGGAGGGACAACAGGAAGGGGCTGTAGTGGTCTCTGAGCTGTGGTGCAAGGCAGGGAGTTTGCTGCCCTTCTAAGGTTGGAAGGGGTAGGGTCCATCTGCTGTTGTCAGAAAAGGCGCCAGCCTTGGCAGCCTCTCTCTCATATCTGCAAGCCAGGTTTTTTAGGCTCTGCTTGTGCAAAATAAGCAGCAGGATTGTGGAATTATGTGACATGTAGCCACAGGCTGCCTATGCCTGGAATGAGCGTTTGCAGGACAGCGTGCAAGATTCTTCTTTTGCTGTAGAGATGCTGTTTTGACAGAAGGGGACCCTCAAACATGGATAACGTAACATGGCTGGCTCTGACTTGACGTGATTGCTTAGAGTTACGATTTCTTCTTTTCCTCCAACCTACTTCTTTCCTGTGGCCTGTTTTCATTTCCTTGTTAACTCAAGCATATCTAATGTGTTTGGTTAACATGAGGAAGTTTTGTATGATGCAGCCTGAACACAGGTCAGGGAGAGTTGACTGAGACTGAATTTTCATAGGCCACAGTAATAAACACGGGCAAAGAAAGAAGCTATTTCAGTGGGGGAAGAGGGCAGCAGAAAGGTCAGGGAGAAGAGCCCTGTGAAAAGTGCTATCAGTGAAAAGTAGATGGTGGGGATGTCTTGGAAGGTGAAACGGGAAAAGTAACTTTGACATTGGGTACGGTGAGGCTAAAATAATGGGTTGCAATCCATTGTGATTTGAATTCCTTTCTGCTGTCACGCTAGCTTCTCGGAGCAATGCGAACACCCGTTCTCTGTCGGCTGGCACAAGGCCTAGCCATGGTAACAGACCTTTGGCACTGGATGCTGCCAGATTCCTGTCCCTATCTCGGCTAGTTCAGAACCTGCTGGGGATAAGCAGGTGTCCGTAGCCCGAGTGTCAAAATAAAAACCATCTTGCCTTGCAAAAGCTTTCTCTGAAGACAGCTTCATACAGTCATTGTGTTTGTGAGGTTTAGTCCGTTCTTTCTTGCTGTGAATTACAGAAACCAGGCCTCTCGTTTTGATATGGAGCATATCCACTAGCAACCAGCTGGTGCTACTATTTGATATCAGTTGGGAATGCCATCCTGAAGCTTTGATATTTTTTCTTTTAAAGTTCCTCCCACCCGACCCTCTCTTCGCACTATTGCTTTCTACACTCTGCTTGGTCACCCTAGTTCATCCAGTTAACGTGCATCCCCAGCTGTATGCTGTGGGGAGATGTGAGCTTGCTTGGCCCACGCTTCGAGCCAACCCAAAGTCAGTGACCACAATAACACGTTGCCAAGCTATAGGAACTTCCCTGATGTGCCTTGCTTCAATGGTTTGTGAAGTCTGAGCTCAGCATCATTTCTGTGAAGCTGGAGAAAATGACTGCATAGCTTTTGCAGTTTGATGTGTTTTCATGTGTGAAAATTGGTAGGTATGCAATTTATTAGGCTTAGAAAGCTAAAGAATGTAGCTTTTAAATGTTGCGTGTGTTAATTCTTGTGAAAAATGCCCACGTTTCTCTCATTAATGGATAGTATTTACTTCAGGTACGGCAGAAATCTGACGCTGAGGTTAAAATAAAGTAAATCTCCATTTATGGAAAAGTAAGTTTCTATGCATCCAGATCTCTTTGCAGTATGTTTAGGTTCTGTGACGGTATTGGAGACTTCAAGTGTAGCAGCTTGAGCTCAGATCCAGCAGGTAAGGATCTAAACATTGATCTAACTTTTAGACCGCATAAAAGGCTGGTGCCATAAAGTGGCACAAAAAGCTTTTTAAGTGGCTGGAGGAGGATTCTCCAGAGACAATCAGAGGCTAGCCTTGATGGAGGCAGAAGTCTAGGAGGAAGGTGAGGACAGGAATCCAGCCCATTAGAGGCACAGTATAAAATTTCACTTCTGGGGGTTGATTCGTTTGCTAAAACAAACAAAACCTTAGTTTTGACTTTGCTCATTTGTTTTTCTTTTTCTGGAAATGTATTGCTTTTTCAAGTGGTGCAGGAAGCTTCCAGAAACTTGATTTACAAGAAGACACTCCCAAGTAATTTCCTTTTGTTTGGAAAGATTTCTGAGTACCA